TGAATGAGTGAGTGCGTGGGTTGGTGGGTGGGTTGGTGGGTGAGTGGGTGGGTTGGTGGGTGGGTTGGTGGGTGGGAACAGTTCCTGGGGCTCTGCAGGCAGTACGGGGCCGTGGAGAGGTGCCTCTTGGTGTACAGCAGAAGCACTGGGCACAGCAAGGTGGGTGGGTGGGTTTGGTGGGGGGGTTGGTGGGTGGGTGGGTGGGTGAGTGGGTGGGTTGGTGGGTGGGTGAGTGAGTGGGTGAGTGAATGATTGAGTGAATGAGTGGGTGAGTGGGTGAGTGAGTGAGTGGGTGGGTGGGTGAGTGAGTGAGTGGTGGGTGGGTGAGTGAGTGAGTGGGTGAATGAGTGAGTGAGTGGATGGGTGGGTGGGTGGGTTGGTTGGTGGGTGGGTTGGTGGGTGGGTTGGTGGGTGAGTGGGTGGGTTGGTGGGTGGGTTGGTGGGTGGGTGGGAGCGGTTCCTGGGGCTCTGCAGGCAGTACGGGGCCGTGGAGAGGTGCCTCTTGGTGTACAGCAGAAGCACTGGGCACAGCAAGGTGGGTGGGTTGGTGGGTGGGGGGGTTGGTGGGTGGGTTGGTGGGTGGGTGAGTGGGGGGGTGAGTGAGTGAGTGAGTGGGTGGGTGAGTGGGTGGGTGGGTGAGTGAGTGAGTGGTGGGTAGGTGGGTTGGTTAGTGAGTGAGTGGGTGAGTGAGTGAGTGAGTGGGTGGGTGAGTGAGCGAGTGGGTGAATGAGTGAGTGAGTGGATGGGTGGGTGGGTTGGTGGGGGGGTGGGTTGGTGGGTGGGTTGGTGGGTGGGTGGGAACAGTTCCTGGGGCTCTGCAGGCAGTACGGGGCCGTGGAGAGGTGCCTCTTGGTGTACAGCAGAAGCACTGGGCACAGCAAGGTGGGTGGGTGGGTTGGTGGGGGGGTGGGTTGGTGGGTGGGTGGGTGAGTGGGTGGGTTGGTGGGTGAGTGAGTGGGTGAGTGAATGATTGAGTGAATGAGTGGGTGAGTGGGTGAGTGAGTGAGTGGGTGGGTGGGTGAGTGAGTGAGTGGTGGGTGGGTGAGTGAGTGAGTGGGTGAATGAGTGAGTGAGTGGATGGGTGGGTGGGTGGGTTGGTTGGTGGGTGGGTTGGTGGGTGGGTTGGTGGGTGGGTGGGAGCGGTTCCTGGGGCTCTGCAGGCAGTACGGGGCCGTGGAGAGGTGCCTCTTGGTGTACAGCAGAAGCACTGGGCACAGCAAGGTGGGTGGGTGGGTTGGTGGGGGGGTTGGTGGGGGGGTTGGTGGGGGGGTTAGTGGGTGGGTGGGTGGGTGAGTGACTGAGTGAATGAGTGAGTGGGTGAGTGAGTGAGTGGGTGGGTGAATGAGTGAGTGGTGGGTAGGTGGGTTGGTTAGTGGGTGAGTGAGTGGGTGAGTGAGTGAGTGGGTGAGTGAGTGAGTGAGTGGGTGGGTGAGTGAGCGAGTGGGTGAATGAGTGAGTGAGTGGATGGGTGGGTGGGTTGGTGGGGGGGTGGGTTGGTGGGTGGGTTGGTGGGTGGGTGGGAATGGTTCCTGGGGCTCTGCAGGCAGTACGGGGCCGTGGAGAGGTGCCTCTTGGTGTACAGCAGAAGCACTGGGCACAGCAAGGTGGGTGGGTGGGTGGGGGGGTTGGTGGGTGGGTGGGTGAGTGAGTGGGTGGGTGGGTGAGTGGGTGGGTTGGTGGGTGAGTGATTGAGTGAGTGAGTGGGTGGGTGAGTGAGTGAGTGGGTGAGTGAGTGAGTGGGTGGGTGAGTGGGTGGGTGAGTGACTGAGTGAATGAGTGAGTGAGTGGGTGAGTAAGTGGGTGGGTTGGTGGGTGAGTGGGTAAGGTGGGTGAGTGAGTGGGAGGGTTGATGGGTGGGTTGGTGGGTGGGTGGGTTGGTGGGTGGGTTGGTTGGTTGGTGGGTGGGTTGGTGGGTTGGTGGGTGGATGGGTGGGAACGGTTCCTGGGGCTCTGCAGGCAGTACGGGGCCGTGGAGAGGTGCCTCTTGGTGTACAGCAGAAGCACTGGGCACAGCAAGGTGGGTGGGTTGGTGGGGGGGTGGGTGGGGGGGTGGGTGGGTTGGTTAGTGGGTGAGTGAGTGGGTGGGTGGGTTGGTAGGTGAGTGAGTGAATGATTGAGTGAATGAGTGGGTGAGTGGGTGAGAGAGTGAGTGGGGGGGTGGGTGAGTGAGTGAGTGAGTGGTGGGTAGGTGAGTGAGTGAGTGGTGGGTAGGTGGGTTGGTTAGTGGGTGGGTGAGTGGGTTGGTGGGTGGGTTGGTGGGTGGGTGAGTGGGTGAGTGAGTGGGTGGGTTGGTTGGTGGGTTGGTTAGTGGGTGAGTGAGTGGGTGAGTGAGTGGGTGGGTTGGTTAGTGGGTGAGTGAGTGGGTGAGTGAGTGAGTGGGTGAGTGAGTGAGTGGGTGAGTGAGTGGGTTGATGAGTGAGTGGGTGAGTGAGTGAGTGGGTTGGTGGGTGAGTGGGTGGGTTGGTGGGTGGGTTGGTGGGTGGGTGGGAATGGTTCCTGGGGCTCTGCAGGCAGTACGGGGCCGTGGAGAGGTGCCTCTTGGTGTACAGCAGAAGCACTGGGCACAGCAAGGTGGGTGGGTGGGTTTGGTGGGGGGGTTGGTGGGGGGGTTAGTGGGTGGGGGGGTGAGTGAGTGGGTGAGTGAGTGAGTGGGTGGGTGAGTGAGTGAGTGAGTGGGTGAGTGAGTGAGTGGTGGGTAGGTGGGTTGGTTAGTGGGTGAGTGAGTGAGTGACTGAGTGAATGAGTGAGTGAGTGGGTGAGTAAGTGGGTGGGTTGGTGGGTGAGTGGGTAAGGTGGGTGAGTGAGTGGGAGGGTTGGTGGGTGGGTTGGTGGGTGGGTGGGTTGGTGGGTGGGTTGGTTGGTTGGTGGGTGGGTTGGTGGGTAGGTTGGTGGGTTGGTGGGTGGATGGGTGGGAACGGTTCCTGGGGCTGTGCAGGCAGTACGGGGCCGTGGAGAGGTGCCTCTTGGTGTACAGCAGAAGCACTGGGCACAGCAAGGTGGGTGGGTGGGTTTGGTGGGGGGGTGAGTGGGTGGGTGAGTGAGTGGGTTGGTGAGTGAGTGTGTGGGTGGGTGAGTGAGTGGGTGAGTTAGTGAGTGAGTGGGTGGGTGGGTGGGTTGATGAGTGAGTGACTGAGTGAATGAGTGAGTGACTGAGTGAGTGCGTGAGTGAGTGGGTGGGTTGGTGAGTGAGTGGGTGGGTTGGTGAGTGGGTGAGTGGGTGGGTGAGTGGGTGGGAGAGTGAGTGAGTGAGTGAATGAGTGAGTAAGTGGGTGAGTGAGTGGGTGAGTGAGTGGGTGGGTGGGTTGGTGGATGAGTGAGTGGGAGGGTGAGTGAGTGAGTGGGTGAGTGAGTGGGTGGGTGAGTGGGTGGGTGAGTGAGTGAGTGGGTGGGTGAGTGAGTGGGTGGGTGGGTGGGTGAGTGGGTGGGTGAGTGAGTGGGTGGGTTGGTGGGTGAGTGATTGAGTGAGTGAGTGGGTGGGTGAGTGAGTGAGTGAATGAGTTGGTGGGTGAGTGAGTGGGTGAGTGAGTGGGTGAGTGAATGAGTGAGTTGGTGGGTGGTTTCGTGGGTGGCTGAGTATCTCCCTCCCCCCACTCCCCCCACTACCCCCACAGGGCTACGGTTTTGTGGAGTTCATGAAGAAGGATGGAGCGGCACGTGCCAATCGCCATCTGCAGGCAATGCCCCTGGAGGCTGACCCTGATGACGATGGCGGTGGTGGTGGTGGTGGTGGTGGACCCAGGCTCCTGTATGTTCACTGGGCCGAGCCGGGCGCACTGAGCGATGAGTCGGTGCATAGCCGCTGTCTGCTGGTTCAGAAGTTCACTCCTGGCATCTGTGGTGATGGTGAGTGGGTGGGTGGGTGGGTGAGTGGGTGGGTGGGTGGGTGAGTGGGTGGGTGGGTGAGTGGGTGGGTGGGTGAGTGAGTGGGTGAGTGAGTGGGTGAGTGAGTGAGTGGGTGGGTGAGTGAGTGAGTGAGTGGGTGAGTGAGTTAGTGAGTGGGTGGGTGAAAGAGTGGGTGAATGAGTGAGGGAATGAATGAGTGGGTGGTGGGTAGGTGAGTAAGTGGGTGAGTAAGTGAGTGGCTGAGTGAGTGGCTGAGTGAGTGAGGGGGTGAGTGAGGGGGTGAGTGGCTGAGTGGCTGAGTGGGTGAGTAAGTGAGTGGCTGAGTGAGTGAGTGGTTGAGTGAGTGGGTAAGTGAGCGTCTCTGTCTCTCTGTGTCCCTGTGGAGGAGGAGGTTTTAATATCGAGAGGGATCAGCTGTTGGCTTTCTTCTCAAGACCCGAACACAAACCTCCCATCTACTGCGAGGTGAGAGACACGGGGAGAGAGAGAGACACGGGGAGAGAGAGAGACACGGGGAGAGAGAGAGACACGGGGAGAGAGACACGGGGAGAGAGAGACACGGGGAGAGAGAGAAACACGGGGAGAGAGAGAGACACGGGGAGAGAGAGAGACACGGGGAGAGAGAGAGACACGGGGAGAGAGAGAAACACGGGGAGAGAGAGAGACACGGGGAGAGAGAGACACGGGGAGAGAGAGACACGGGGAGAGAGAGAGACGCGGGGAGAGAGAGAGACGCGGGGAGAGAGAGAGACGCGGGGAGAGAGAGAGACGCGGGGAGAGAGAGAGACACGGGGAGAGAGAGAGACACGGGGAGAGAGAGAGACACGGGGAGAGAGAGAGACACGGGGAGAGAGAGACACGGGGAGAGAGACACGGGGAGAGAGAGACACGGGGAGAGAGAGACACGGGGAGAGAGAGACACGGGGAGAGAGACACGGGGAGAGAGAGGCACGGGGAGAGAGAGGCACGGGGAGAGAGAGGCACGGGGAGAGGGAGACACGGGGAGAGAGACACGGGGAGAGAGACACGGGGAGAGAGACACGGGGAGAGAGACACGGGGAGAGAGACACGGGGAGAGAGACACGGGGAGAGAGACACGGGGGGAGGGGGAGAGAGACACGGGGAGAGAGAGACACGGGGAGAGAGACACGGGGAAAGAGAGACACGGGGAGACTAACTACCTGACTAACTAACTACCTGACTAACTACCTGACTGACTACCTGACTGACTGACTAACTGACTAACTAACTGACTAATTAACTCACTAACTAACTGACTGACTGACTAACTACCTGACTAACTACCTGACTAACTACCTGACTAACTGACTAACTAACTAACTACCTAACTAACTAACTACCTGACTAACTAACCACCTGACTAACCACCTGACTAACCACCTGAATCACCACCTGTGCTAGGTGGCTGTGGACCCTCTCGGCCTACCGCTAACTAACTACCTGACTAACTAACTAACTACCTGACTGACTACCTGACTAACTACCTGACTAACTAGCTACCTGACTAACTACCTAACTAACTACCTGGCTAACTAACTAACTACCTCACTAACTAACTACCTGACTAACTACCTGACTAACTAACTACCTAACTAGCTACCTGACTAACTAACTACCTAACTAACTACCTGGCTAACTAACTAACTACCTCACTAACTAACTACCTGACTAACCACCTGACTAACTACCTGACTAACCACCTGACTAACTACCTGACTAACTAACTAGCTACCTGACTAACCACCTGACTAACTAACTACCTGACTAACTAACTAGCTACCTGACTAACCACCTGACTAACCACCTGAATCATCACCTGTGCTAGGTGGCTGTGGACCCTCTCGGCCTACCGCTAACTAACTACCTGACTAACTAACTACCTGACTAACCACCTGACTAACCACCTGAATCATCACCTGTGCTAGGTGGCTGTGGACCCTCTCGGCCTACCGCTAACTAACTACCTGACTAACTAACTACTTGACTAACTAACTGACTAACTAACTAACTACCTGACTAACTACCTGACTAACTAACTACCTGACTAACTAGCTACCTAACTAACTAACTACCTGACTAACTACCTAACCAACTAACTACCTGACTAACTAACTACCTGACTAACTACCTAACCAACTAACTACCTGACTAACTAACTACCTGACTAACTAACTGACTAACTAACTACCTGACTAACTACCTAACTAACTAACTACCTAACTAACTACCTGACTAACTACCTGACTAACTAGCTAACTAACTAACTAACTACCTGACTAACTACTTGACTAACTAAATACCTAACTAACTAACTACCTGACTAACTAACTACCTGACTAACTAACTACCTAACTAACTACCTGACTAACTACCTAACTAACTAACTACCTGACTAACTAACTACCTGACTAACTAAATACCTAACTAACTACCTGACTAACTAACTAACTACCTGACTAACTAACTACCTGACTAACTACCTGACTAACTACCTGACTAACTACGTGACTAACCACCTGAATCATCACCTGTGCTAGGTGGCTGTGGACCCTCTCGGCCTACCGCTAACTAACTACCTGACTAACTAACTACTTGACTAACTAACTACCTGACTAACTAACTACCTGACTAACTAACTAACTACCTGACTAACTACCTGACTAACTAACTAACTACCTGACTAACTAACTACCTGACTAACTAACTAACTACCTGACTAACTAACTACCTGACTAACTACCTGACTAACTACCTGACTAACCACCTGACTAACTACCTGACTAACTAACTACCTGACTAACTAACTAACTACCTGACTAACTACCTGACTAACTAACTACCTGACTAACTACCTAACTACCTGACTAACTACCTGACTAACTAACTAACTACCTGACTAACTAACTAACTGACTAACTAACTACCTGACTAACTAACTACCTGACTAACTAACTAACTACCTGACTAACTAACTACCTGACTAACTAACTACCTGACTAACTAACTACCTGACTAACTAACTACCTGACTAACTAACTACCTGACTAACTGACTAACTACCTGACTACCTGACTAACTACCTGACTAACTACCTGACTAACTAACTACCTGACTAACTGACTAACTACCTGACTACCTGACTAACTAACTGACTAACTACCTGACTAACTAACTAACTACCTGACTAACTACCTGACTAACTAACTACCTGACTAACTAACTACCTGACTAACTTACTAACTACCTGACTAACTACCTGACTAACTAACTACCTGACTAACTAACTACCTGACTAACTACCTGACTAACTAACTACCTGACTAACTACCTGACTAACTAACTACCTGACTAACTAACTACCTGACTAACTACCTGACTAACCACCTGACTAACCACCTGAATCATCACCTGTGCTAGGTGGCTGTGGACCCTCTCGGCCTACTGCTAACTAACTATCTGACTAACTAACTACCTGACTAACTAACTACCTGACTAACTAACTACCTGACTAACTACCTGACTAACTACCTGACTAACTACCTGACTAACCACCTGACTAACTACCTGACTAACCACCTGACTAACTACCTGACTAACTAACTAGCTACCTGACTAACCACCTGACTAACTAACTACCTGACTAACTAACTAGCTACCTGACTAACCACCTGACTAACCACCTGAATCATCACCTGTGCTAGGTGGCTGTGGACCCTCTCGGCCTACCGCTAACTAACTACCTCACTAACTAACTACTTGACTAACTAACTGACTAACTAACTAACTACCTGACTAACTACCTGACTAACTAACTACCTGACTAACTAGCTACCTAACTAACTAACTACCTGACTAACTACCTGACTAACTAACTACCTGACTAACTAGCTACCTAACTAACTAACTACCTGACTAACTAACTACCTGACTAACTAACTGACTAACTAACTAACTACCTGACTAACTACCTAACTAACTAACTACCTAACTAACTACCTGACTAACTACCTGACTAACTACCTAACTAACTACCTGACTAACTACTTGACTAACTAACTACCTAACTAACTAACTACCTGACTAACTAACTACCTGACTAACTAACTACCTAACTAACTACCTGACTAACTACCTAACTAACTACCTGACTAACTAACTACCTAACTAACTACCTGACTAACTAACTAACTACCTGACTAACTAACTACCTGACTAACTAACTACCTGACTAACTACCTGACTAACTAACTAACTACCTGACTAACTAACTACCTGACTAACTAACTACCTGACTAACTAACTACCTGACTAACTAACTACCTGACTAACTAACTACCTGACTAACTAACTACCTGACTAACTACCTGACTAACTAACTACCTGACTAACTAACTACCTGACTAACTACCTGACTAACTACCTGATTAACTAACTAACTAACTACCTGACTAACTAACTACCTGACTAACTAACTACCTGACTAACTAACTACCTGACTAACTAACTACCTGACTAACTACCTGGCTAACTGACTAACTACCTGACTAACTACCTGACTACCTGACTAACTACCTGACTAACTACTTGACTAACTACCTGACTAACTAACTACCTGACTAACTACCTGACTAACTACCTGACTAACTACGTGACTAACCACCTGAATCATCACCTGTGCTAGGTGGCTGTGGACCCTCTCGGCCTACCGCTAACTAACTACCTGACTAACTAACTACTTGACTAAACTAAACCTGACTAACTAACTACCTGACTAACTAACTAACTAATTGACTAACTACCTGACTAACTAACTAACTACCTGACTAACTAACTACCTGACTAACTAACTAACTACCTGACTAACTAACTAACTACCTGACTAACTAACTACCTGACTAACTACCTGACTAACTACCTGACTAACCACCTGACTAACTACCTGACTAACTAACTACCTGACTAACTAACTAACTACCTGACTAACTACCTGACTAACTAACTACCTGACTAACTACCTAACTACCTGACTAACTACCTGACTAACTAACTAACTACCTAACTAACTAACTGACTAACTAACTACCTGACTAACTAACTACCTGACTAACTACCTAACTACCTGACTAACTACCTGACTAACTAACTACCTGACTAACTAACTAACTGACTAACTAACTACCTGACTAACTAACTACCTGACTAACTAACTAACTACCTGACTAACTAACTAACTACCTGACTAACTAACTAACTACCTGACTAACTAACTAACTACCTGACTAACTAACTACCTGACTAACTAACTACCTGACTAACTAACTAACTACCTGACTAACTAACTACCTGACTAACTACCTGACTAACTAACTAACTACCTGACTAACTAACTAACTACCTGACTAACTAACTACCTGACTAACTAACTACCTGACTAACTACCTGACTAACTAACTAACTACCTGACTAACTAACTACCTGACTAACTAACTACCTGACTAACTACCTGACTAACTAACTACCTGACTAACTAACTACCTGACTAACTAACTGCCTGACTAACTACCTGACTACCTGACTAACTACCTGACTAACTAACTACCTGACTAACTAACTACCTGACTAACTAACTACCTGACTAACTACCTGACTAACTACCTGACTAACTAACTACCTGACTAACTAACTAGCTACCTGACTAACCACCTGACTAACCACCTGAATCATCACCTGTGCTAGGTGGCTGTGGACCCTCTCGGCCTACCGCTAACTAACTACCTGACTAACTACCTAACTAACTAACTACCTGACTAACTAACTACCTGACTAACTACCTAACTAACTAACTACCTGACTAACTACTTGACTAACTAACTACTTGACTAACTAACTACTTGACTAACTAACTACCTGACTAACTAACTACCTGACTAACTACCTGACTAACTAACTAACTACCTGACTAACTAACTACCTGACTAACTAACTACCTGACTAACTACCTGACTAACTAACTAACTACCTGACTAACTAACTACCTGACTAACTAACTACCTGACTAACTAACTACCTGACTAACTAACTACCTGACTAACTAACTACCTGACTAACTAACTACCTGACTAACTAACTACCTGAC